ATACGACCCCAATGCTGGGAATTCCCCAGCAACGACGTGCGCTGTTCATGAGCGCACAGCTGATTTTCCTGGATGCCGTTTGGACGCGCTGACTTTCGGCTGCGAGCTCATTTTTAAAGTGCCTAAATCACCAAATCCGCTGAAAACTTGTATATAGAGGTAATCTAACATCCTGATTACGACTATGACATTCATTCTTGGCGCTGGCGCTAATGGAGAACACTACGATTATCTGCCCTCTGCTAAAGCTGAACCCAGAAGATAATCGTAGTGTCCTCCATTAGCGCCAGCGCCAAGAATGAATGTCATATTTGTGAACAGGATGTTAGATTACCTCCTATATACAAGTTTTCAGCGGATTTGGTGATCTAGGCAATTTAAAAATGAGCTCACAGCCAAAAGTCAGCGCGTCCAAACGGCATCAGCCTTTTCCTGCAGTCTGTGTAACACACTATATTGGTGCAGTTGCAGACCAAACGCACTGAAGTCGGAGTTCTACATTAAGCTTGAATCAATGAGAGTATATTTCTACATTGAATTTTTATTTCAACTGTTTAGGCACCGTTCTGTTGGAAACTGTTTTTGTAACCATCTTTTTATTGTCTAAGTAGTATAATGGAGTTTTAGTTAAGCGCTGAAACTTGTGTTTCATGTTTTCAGGTCATATGTGAGCTTAAGTCTTCCAAAATTCACCAACGCCGAATCAGCTCCAGTCCAGAATGACCCAACGAAACAGAAACGGCCGGCGGAAAAGCGATCCTGCGCTTCCATTCCGTCCTGCTCCGGAGAAATTGTAGGTATTTACCTTGAAGTGAACTTTGGATCAGTCCGTCTTCAATTTATACGTTCTAGAACAGTGGCAGCAGAGCTCCCATGGGGTCTCCCGAAAGTAGTACCGGTGGTGGTACTGGACTACAACCTCCCAACTGGCTCATTCGCAGGCCAATCGGTTCTCTTGGATTTATTCAGTCTCTTTGAAAGAAAATTGCAGTCTGTGACTGAAGAAGAGCCGACCGTGAGTTGTTCAGAGCGTTCCCTTTCAATCAAGTTCTTAACACTTCAATCGTAGAGAAAGCCTCAAAGTTCGCGAATTAATTCGTCCTCATGAGCTTTGTAGTGATTTTTTTTCTCCTCAGTCGCATTTCTTCTGAATACAGTAATGTTGAAAAAATTCAGGAAAAATTGCTGAACAAGTCTTTTACAACGCTGGTTTGTGGATACCTTATGTTCGAGCAATGAGAGCGAGTACACTGCAGGGATAGTGAACTAATGCATCGCAGATGGCGAGTAGTGAGTGCTTTTGATGAGGTTGGAAAATAGCGAAGGAGGCTCAAAATAAACGAAGTATAACCCGGGGTAAGTCTGTCATTGTAATTCTTTAGGCTCGCAGATTTGTCGGGATTAACTGTTTCTTAGAAAGGCGACAGCCGTCGTGAACTTGTAAAAAGCTACTGCCTGACCTATCTTATTTTGTATTAGTTCTCATAGAGATTCTCCCTCCCTCAGGTTTGCATCGTTTGATTTGTTGTAGTGGTATTATTCAACTATTTTTGCCTCGGAAACTTAAGCTTTTTCCCTGCTGAAACTTCCCCTGTAAGGGTAATTCGGTATCATGGTCACGAAAATCGCATTAGTTTAGTGGTGGCGACATCTAGCGCCACCGTGTACAAGCGCAAAAATCGGTTTAAAGGTGGCATACCAGCGAAGTGATTATTCATGTTTCAGGAATCTCCGATTACAGGTCGCAATAGGGACATGCTCGCCTTAGGGTATATTTTCTGGCAAAGGGTAAGGGAATTTCTGGCTAATGTGTGTAAGGGTATTTTTACGCAGGCGCTTGTGGCGCAGCTTCAGCGATTCGGTTGAGTAGATTAGAAATGCTGAGTTACATCGGTAAAAGCCAGGTCCTAGATGGTACTCGAACCCGCATCTCTTGCTTAACAGGCTGTTGCGCTATCCATCACGCTACGCTCTTTCCCTCCCAGCTCAACGATGTGCCACGGCACTCACACGTTTAACGTGATTTGTCTGGGGTCTGATTTTTGCCCATAACTCTGCACTCTTGTGATAACTTTTGAAGCGCGCAAACAGCACTGCCGAGCGGACGTGAAATTCGTGCTTAGGATGTCAAGTTACCCATGGATCAAATCTTCACCGGAATCTTCATTTCCGGAAACATCAGTTTTTCACAGACTTCACATCTATAGGGCCAAACCTGGCCCTATAGAAGTGAAGTCTGTGAAAAACTGATGTTTCCGGAAATGGGGGTAGTCATAATTGAGTACTGCCGTTGTCACTCGTATGGGCAGCTGTAATCTTGATTTCAGTTCATTGCCATTCACAGTCGTTTTAGGTTGAATTTCACTTGACTGCTTGTGAACAGCAGGTCAAATATCTTCTCGATAGCTCCTTTCAACAAGTACAATATAAAGATCCGTGAGTTTCTGTTTTTTGCTTTGTCTGTATGCCGGTATTTACCGTGTTGGCATAATGTATCAAAGAATTCGAAAATGTTTCAGCGCTACGTTGGGGGTAAATAACACGAATAGTCTAGTCGTTGCTGAAACTTACGCAGAGGTGATTGGTGTTTTAACAGAAACTCACTTCACTCAGATCCATAAGTAAGGTTTTATAGAGAATTTGGTTGTTTTCTAGCTCACTTGTCTGCCAAAACAAGTCGTTTTTGCTGTTTTAGACAATTTATGAGTATATTATCTGATCTGAGAAAAGACACTTCGGCAGCTGTGACTCACAACTTGATCTCTCTTCTCATGGCTATGAAATTCGTTAAAATTAAAGTGAGAACATGGCGTTTTTTGAAACGGCTCGTAGCGTTATTATCTTTCTTTTTTGTTCAGACAAACCAGGTGGACGACTTTGAAATGGGAATTAAGTTCCTGGACGACCTTGGGTCATTTCTATTGGAGGTGAAAGATAAGGTTAGTTACCATAAAATTTTTTCTTTTTCTTGGTCGTATTTCCTTTTGTATCGTATCTTCTTTCGTTTCAGGATGTTAAACATGCCGTAGCTGGCCTTCTTGTCGAGATCCTTCTACCGGTCGCTGCGGTATGATTCCATTTTTGGACTTGTGCATTGCTTTTTGACGCTTAAAAAAGCTATAACGTTTCAAATATTTTTTTCTTAAGCAAATCAAACGTGAAGCAAACATTCCGGCCTTAATTGCTTTCGTTGGCAAATTGTATGGACCAACAAGTGAACTGGCTTCAAAGAAGCAACACAAGCTGGTGAGATTCTTCTTTCCCTCAAGGTCTTGCGAGATGTAGATCTAGTGGACCTACTTCTGTTTAGGCTGCATACCCTCTTCTGACTTGTCTGCTCTGTGTGAGCCAACGCCAGTTCTTTTTGACTAACTGGGTACCTTTCCTGAACAATACCCTTGCAAATCTGAAGAATAGAGATTCTCGAATATCACGCGTGGCTCTGGAATCGCTATATAGGCTGCTATGGTGAGAGCTCTTGACTATTATTATTTTTCGAAAAAAAAACTCTGGACGAGTTTCAATATACGCCATTCGTTTTAGGGTTTACATGATTCGCAACAACTGTGATGGTAACTCGGCGACTCGTACAAGGTTAGAATCGATATGTGGAAGTCTGTTCCCAAAAGGCAATCGTGGGATTGTCCCTAGAGATGCACCTTTGAACATCTTCGTCAAGATAATCCATTTCATAGCTCAACAGAAGTTAGACTTCGCTTTCAAGGTGAGCTTCTATAACGTTCTTGGGTTTTCATTGCAAGGTTG